AGACTGCTAAAAGAACCAACAAATCTGTCTTGGAGGAAGTGCAGCCGGAATGCTCCTTGGAAGTGAGAATGGTCAGACTTCGTCTCACTTACTTTGGTCATGTTGTCAGAAGGGACCATTCCCTGGAGAAGGATATCATGCTCGGCAAAGTGGAGGGACAACAAAAAAGGGGAAGGCCCTCAATGAGATGGATTGACATAGTGGCTGCAATGATGGGCTCAGGTATAGTAAAGATCCATGGAGCTAGCACAGTACCAGGCATTGTTTCATTCTGCTGTACATGAGGTCTCTATGAGTCGGAGATGACTCAGTGGCACCTAACAACAACAATATATATATATGAATAAATATAAATATATATAGAGATGGCAGTGTAGTTAAGGCATTGGGCTGCTAACCAAAATGTCAGGATGTCCAAGCCCCCAGCCCTCCACAAGAGAAAGATGAGACAGTCTGATTCCATGAATATTTACAGCCTTTGAAACCTTATGGGGGTTGCTATTAATTGGAATTGACTGGATGGCAGTGGGTTTTGGAGATATATACATCTACCAAAAAAACCAAACCCACCGCCAACAAGTCAATTCTGACTCATAGTGACCCCCATTGGATTTCTGAAGTGGCAAATCTTTACAGAAATATATTACCCAGTCTTCTCCCACAGAGTGGCTGGTGGATTTGAACTCCCACCTTCTGGTTAGCTGTCAAGTGCCTCAGGCAATGTGCCACCAGAGCTCCTATAAATATACTCACACTGGAGCCTTCAAGTGTCATATGCTTCTGTTTTTTAGGAATTATTTCAGACCTTATATTTTCTACAGAGAATCTGTTTGAGGGGTAAAACAGAGCTTTCAGTAGTTAAAAAAAGTTTCATATTAAATATTTTCAAATTTCAAGAGACTTTGTCCTCTTAAGCTGAGGGACTAGAAAATGTCTGTTCCCAGGGCTTCCTTACAGCCTCTCCCTGGTTGCAAAGGTACATGTCAGAACTTCAAGCTTCTCTTCTTGTCCAGTGTGCACCATATACACTCTGCTATTTTAGAAACAGCTGGCTTTACTTCCCTCTACTTACTTTTGGTGTTTTGCCCTTCTACTGTGAAATATATGGAGATTAAGTCCCCCAAACATTGGCGGGACACAGGTCCAGCTCCATCAGCTGATGGTACTAACTCTCCCACACGTCTCACTTCTGCCAGAAAGATGTGCCTACTCAACTCTTGGCCAAATGCTCAGGGACCCGGGCTCTCCAGCTGAGGTTATCCTGTCCTCTTGTGTTCTTTGTGACCTGTTCTTTGATCTGAGTCTTCTTCTCAGTGTTCATCAGCCTCTTCATAGGAGTTCACAAAAATTGTGGTAGAGTCCATGTGAGTTTCTTCTATAGGGCAGTCAATCATGGGACCATTCACCACATTTTCTATGGCTTTCATAATCAAAGACCCCAACAACCCACCCGAAATGGTGTGCTTCCTGTCCAGGGAGGAACAAGAGTGGAAGGAGATGAAGATCTGAGACATGATTGTTGTTGGTCCCAGGTTGGCCATGCTGAGGACTCCCTGACTAGAAATGGATCTGGGATTCATCTCTCAAAGTTTTTCCACAGTGTAACTACCCATTTGTGCTTGCAATCATGGGATAGCCCCCTTGGATAACAAAGTTCTGCATCTGTGGAAAATGGTTGTTGTTGTTGTAAGGTACTGATGAGTCATTTCCAACTCATAGCAACCCCATGCACAGCAGAATAAAACACCACACGATCCTGCACCGCTCCATGAACCTTGCTGTACTTGGGCCCATTATCACAGTGATTGTGTCAATCCATCTCATTGAAGGCCTTTCCCTCTTTTGTCCACCCTCCACCTTACCAAGCATGATATTTTTCTCCAGGGAATGGTCTCTTCTGACAACATGACCAAAGTAGGTGAGACGAAGTCTGGCCATTCTTGCATCCAAGGAGCATCTCGGCTACACTTCTTCCAGGACAGATCTGTTCTTTTAGCAGTCCATGGTACTTTTAGCATTCTTCGCCAGAACCACAACTTAAAAGCATCAACTCTTCTTCAGTCTTCCTTATTCACTGTCCAGCTCTCACATGCATACAAGGCGATTGGAAATATCATGGCTTGTGTCAGGCACACCTTAGTCCTCAAGGAGACATCCTTGCTCCTCAGCACTTGAAACAGTTCCTTCGCGGTTGACCTTCCCAATGCTACACGTCTTCTAATGTCCTGACTGCTGCTTCCATTGGCATCGATTGTAGAACCAAGCAACATGAATTCTTTGACAATCTCAATCTTTTCTCCATTTATTGTGATGCTGCTTATTGGTCCAGTTGTGAGGATTTTTGTTTTCTTTATATTGAGATGTAATCCATACTGCAGACTGTATTCTTCCATCTTCATCAGTAAGTGCCTCAAGTCATCATCATTTTCAGCAAGCAAAGTTGTATCGTCTGCGTATCACAGGCTGTTACTGATTCTTCCTCCAATCCTGATGCCACATTTTTCTTCATATAGTCCAGCTTCTCAGATTATTTGCTCAGCAGATAGATTGAATAAGTATGGGTAAAGGATACAACCCTGACACACTTCCTTCTTGATTTTAAACCATGTAGTGTCCCCTTGTTCCATTCAAACAACAGCCTCCTGGTCAAGGTACAGGTTCCTCGTGAATACAATCAAGTGTTCGGGAATTCTCATTCTCAATCTTATCCATAATTTGTCATGAACCACACAATCAAATGCCTTTGCATAGTCAATAAAACACAAGTAAACATCTTTCTGGTATTATTTGCCTTGAGCCAAATCCATCTGAGAACAGCTATGATATCCCTTGTTCCACATCCTCTTCTGAATCCAACTTGCACCTCTGGAAGTTCTCTGTCAATATACTGCTGCAACCATTTTTTAATTATCTTCAGTAAGATCTTACTTGTGTGCAATATTAATAATATTGTTTGATAATTTCCACGTTCTGTGGGATCACCTTTCTTTGGAATGGGTACAAATATGGATCTCTTCCAGTCAGTTGGCCAGGTAGCTGTCTTCTAAATCTCCTGGCATAACCTAGTGAGTACCTCCAATGGGTCATCCATATCTCAATGAGTATTCCATCAATTCCTGGAGCTTTGTTCTTCGCCCATTCCTTCATTGAAGCTTTGACTTCCTCCTTCAATACTACAGGTTCTAGATCATATGCCACCTCCTGAAATGGATGAAGATCAACCAGTTCTTTTTGGTACAGTGACTCTGTATATTCCTTCCATCTTCTTTTGATGTTTTCTGCATCATTCAATATTTTGTCCATAGAATCTTTGAATATTGCAACTCAAAGCTTACATTTTTTCCTCAATTCTTTCAGCCTGAGAGATGCCAAGTGTGTTCTTCCCTTTTTGTTTTTCTAACTCCAGGTCTTTGCACATTTCATTACACTAATTTGTTTTGTCTTCTCAAGCTGCTCTTTGAAATCTTGGTTCAATTCTTTTATCTTGTCATTTTTTCCATTTGCTTTAGCTACTCTCTGCTCAAAGGCAAGTTTTAGAGTATCTTCTGTCATCTATTTTGGTCTTCTCTTCTTTTGTTGTCTTTTTAGTGACATCTTGCTTTCTTCATGGATGATGCTCTTGATGTCAACCCACAATTCTGTTTTTCAGTCATTGGTGTTCAATGTGTCAAATCATGGTGTTCAATGTGTCAAATGTATTCCTTAGATGTTCTCTAAATCAGGAGGGATATATTCAAGATCATATTTTGGCTCTCATGGACTTGTTTTAATTGTCTTTAACTTCAAGTTGAACTTGCATATAAGCCATTCATGGTCTGTTCCACAATCAGCTTCTGGCCTGGTTTTGGCTGAAGAGATTGAGCTTTTCCATCTCCTCTTGTCACAGATGTAGTCAATCTGATTCCTGTGTGTTCCATCTGGTGAAGTCCACGTGTACAGCTGCTGTTTGTGTTGTTGAAAAAAGGTGTTTGCAATGAACAAGTCGTTGGTCTTGCAAAATTCTACCATGCGAGTTCCAGCATTATTTCTGTCACCAAGGCCAAATTTTCCAACTACCAGTGATTCTTCTTTGTTTCCAACTTTTGCATTCCAGTTACCAGTGATAATTAACACATCCTGATTACATGTTCAGTCAATTTCAGACTGCAGAAGCTGATAAAATTTTCAATTTCCTCATCTTTGGCTTTGGTGGTTGGGGCATATATTTGAATAATAGTCGTATAAATGGGTCTTCCTTGTAGGCATATGGATATTGTCTTATCACTGACAGCATTGTACTTCAGGACAGATCTTGAAACATCCTTTGTGATGATGAATGCCACGCCATCCTTTTCAAACTGTCATTCCTGGCATAGTAGATCATATGTTTGTCTGATTCAAAATGGCCAAAACCCGTCCATTTTGGCTCACTAATGCCTAGTATATCAATCTTCATGCATCCCATTTCATTTTTGACAGCTTCCAATTTTCCTAGATTCATACTTCATACATTCCATGATTAATGGATGTTTGCAGTGTTTCTCCTCAATTTGAGTGGTACCACATCAGCAATTGACAGTCTCGAAAGCTTTACCTTATCCATATGAGTAAGGCTGGTTTTACTCTGATGATGCAGCTCTTTCCCAGTCCTATTTTGAGAGCCTTGTAACGTAAGTGACTCATCTTCCTCCTCTCTATTGGACAATGTTTCTGGACTATTCATAAAGTTGCACAGTAATGTGTCAGACAGTGTTTCTCTGCTATTCATAAGACTTTCCCCAGCCAATTCTTTGAGAAGTGGTTGGCCTCTTCCTTCTTCCTAGTCTGTCTCAGTCTGCAAGCTGGGCTGATACTTGTGCACCATGTGCATCCCGCTGGGTTTGAAACACCAGTGGCACAGCCTCAAGATTCATAGCAACACATCACCACTGTAGCAGAAACCAACAGACAAGTTTGTCTCCCTTAGCTGTTGGAAACCTCTCCAAACACCCTTACTTACCCTTACAAACTTACTTACTTACCCTTACAAACATCCCTGTGGATGACTCCTCACTCTGACCTGGTCCCCTTGGCCTTTTCTGTCTTTTCTGTAATTCTCCTTGCAGAGCTGAATGAACTTCTGCATGTTCTTGTTCCCAGATCACAATGCAATTACAGATTAAGGTGGCCTCTGTTGGCATGGAGCCACATATAGCCCTTCTTCATGCACTGATAGCTCAGTGTTAATGGTGGCAGTTTCCTTACCTTTCTCTGGGACCACTGCAGTGTAGGTGAGGGAAGCATCACTAAGATTGCTCATGACAAGATAGGCAGTATTCAGTAGGCCCATGTGTCCTTCTCCAGGAAACACACAGTGGCTTCCAGGATCTCATCTACATTGAACTCCTTCTAGAATAGTGGTTGGGACCAGTTAGCAGGTTTCTTTCTTCTACTTCCTTATCTCTCTCTCTCCTTCAGGGCTAGGTGGATAATGGTATCATGGGCCTTATAGTAAGTCATGGAGTTGTATTCCTTGAGTATGATTCCCTCATACCGCAGATTTTCTTTTCCTACAAGCATAATCATAGGTTCATGAATCACAGAACTTGTCTGTGAGGGGGAGGGTAAAGACCAGCATTTGCCCATTCATTTTCCATTTATTTTTTCCTGTATGTTGTGCACTGGGCTTGATGGACACTGGACCTCTGTTTCTGCGCAGGGACTCCTCTGTAGGCATAACTCAATCCATCTTTAGTTTCTTGGAAGCAGGCTTATCTTCCACAGGAGGCAGAGGTTGTGCAGAAGGCATTAAGGTGAAAGCTGGAATGGGTGCCACAGGTAGAGCAGGCACAAAGGCTGTTGGCTAAATCATGAATTGTGGGTGGGGTGAGAGTAGGGTCCAAGGAAAGCATGGGCAGTATGTTGATCCTGGGCACATGGATGATGGATGGCATGGGGGCAATCACTGAATCTAGGTGCAGGCCTACAACAGATGCTATCAGGTGCTGGGGCTTGATAGGTATTGCTGACACAACTATGGTGTGGATGGGAAGTGCCATCTTGGATGGTCAGAGCACTGAGCTGATGGGTGGGGTTGAACTGAGAATGTTGGTGGCCTAGGATGGAGGTGGCTGGGGGTTTTCATTGGGCTCATGGGTACCAATCTTCTCTTTGGTGTCATCTTCTGGCATCAGACCGTTGGCCTTGTGGATGGTTTCAATCTACACCTGGAGGGTGATATTGTCCTGGGCAACCTGCTGGGTTCAGGTCATGCTGTCTGAGTGGCCATCCCAGGCTACCTTTTCTTCTGGCTTTTTGATCTCCTCCTCACCAATCTACTTACTGATTGCTCTTTCCTCAATACCAAAGAGGTCAATAAACTGCTCAGTCAACTGTTTCAAATTGCTCCCAATTTCCAGGCCTGAAACATACAACTCTTCATTGCTTTGCTTCTTTGGGATATAGCTGTCTTGCTGCTCCAGTAGTGGAGGTTGAGAAGCCCCATGCACAGGTGTTTTTACCTTTTGCTGATAGTAATCCTCTACCCAGTGGTGAGGAACACAATATACTCATATAGATCTGGGGTTGGAGACATTGATTTGGAAGCTTTAGGGTCATAGCCCTTGCTGACAATGACTTGATCTGGAGTTGGGAACATAGGTGGAAGCCTGGGCATCTGTAGGAGTGGGGACACTTTCTATCTTTCTTCCTCATCTGAACCCTCATCCACCTCTTATACTTGGTTGCCCTAGTCATTCTTGGAAGGAGGCTCCTCTGGCTTCTCCTTCTCCTTGTCCTCCTGATCATACTTGATCTCCAGCTTGCCTCCTCACTCTACCAAAACTTCTCAGAGTGCTCCTCAATGAGCCATCTGCTACATATAACATCGGGTTCTCTGCTGGGGCTTGAACTAGAAGACCCTGCCCACCCCCCCAGCACTCTTGTCTCAACTCCATCAATGTAACTCTGCTATTGCAAAACAAAGCAACAATCCAAGAAGCTGTGTCAGGTCTATTAGCAAAACTTCCCCACATGGGTCTTACAAATGCAAGAAACATAAGAGTGATTAATAGGAGAATGGAAAGGGGTAATAGGGAAAGAACTTATCTCAGCGGGTTGAAGATTTTTCGATGGTTGTTAAGGAATGGGATGAATGTAGCAGACATTGATGGAGTTGAGAGAAAAGTGCTAATCCAACACTACAGGTGGTTGGGTGGACCAATGGAAACTCCTGCTGGCCCCCACCTTATGGAGGTCTAGACAAGTTAGTTCTATTCACTCCACTCAGGAGGCATTTAATAATAGGAACTCCCACCTGGGACCAGTTGAAGCAGAGACTCAGCTAATTGATGAGGACAAAGACTGACAGGAGGGCTAGGGTCTTCTAGTTCAGGCCCCAGCAGAGGACCTTAGGCCATATGCACATGTGTGGGTAAAATGGCCTGGGGGTGGGGAAGAGACCTTCTTGGGACTCCTGGACATAGGAGCCCAATGTACCATCATCCTGAAACCTGTCAATGAAATGTTGAAGGGGCCTAAGACTGGGGGTATATGAGGATACAACAGTTGATGGAACTAAGGTGAAGGTTTGGATGAGAATTGGAAGATTTAAATAGATGTTGTATGGAGTAGTTGCATCTCCTTTACCTGAGTGTATTATCAGTGTGGATATTATGTCTAATTGCAGAAATCTCCCTCTACCTGATATTGTAAAACTGAAGGTGTGTAAGTTTGCCCTTAGGCCAGTATTGATTGGACATACTAAATGGGAACAATTAGAATTGCCCAAACCCACTCAGGTTGCTAACTTGAAACAGTAAAGGATACCTGCTGGACAGAAGGAAATTAGTGTGAAGGCTGGAGTGTTGGTGCCAACAAATTCTCTGTATAACAGCCCGTGAAAAAGGCAGATGGCTCATGGAGACTGACATTAGACTACTGAGGCCTAAATAAAGTCATGCCATGGGTGGCTCCAGCTGTTCCAGACATGGTACCAATGGTGCAGAAAATACAACAGGCCAAAGGAGACTAGTTCACAGTGTTTGGTCTTGTAAATGCCTTTTTCTCCATATCTGTCTTGGAAAAGAGTCTGTCACAGTTTACTTTCACATGGGAAGGCTCTCAGTATACTTTCAGAGTTTTGCTATTTGAATCCATCAGCTTACTGTCATGGCTTGGTTAGGAGGGACTTGGACTTGGTGCAGATTTCATTTATGGTGATAAATTACATTGATGATATTATGTTGATAGCAAACACAGAAGAACACGATAAGGCAGATTTGAAAACAGTGGTGGCCCACATGACCAATAGAGGCTGGTTAATAAATCCAGCAAAAATCCAGGGCCTTGCACAAACAGTGAAATTCTTGGGAATAACTTGGGCAGGAGCCACCCATGATATTCCACAGGCAACCAAAAAAAAGTTGCTGTCACTACCTACCCCCAAGACTAAGCAGGAAGCCCAATGTTTAATTGGTTTATTTGGATTTTGGAGAACATACATTCCACATCTGGGAATATTGCTGGCTCCCATCCATAAAGGCACTCAGAAGAAAACTGCATTTGAATGGTGGCCCGAGCAACAGCAGGCTATGTCTGAAATACATAAAGCAGTCTCACTGTCCTTGCCTTTAGGTCCTTATGATCTACATTCAAACATGATTTTGAAGGTGTCTGCTACAAGTGGTTATGCAGACTGGAGCTTATGGCAAAAACCTGAGAATGCTGCCCTATGATGACCATTGGGATTCTGGACTAGAAAGTTTCCAGATGCTGCAGCACGACACATGCCATTTGAAAGGGAATTACTTGTCTGCTATTGGACATTGATTGAGACTACCTCAAAGACAGATGGACATAAAATTATTATAAGACCTGAAATATGCATAATGTCTTGGATGATGTCAGAGAAACACTGTAATAAGGAAGGTGGCGCCCAAAATAGTTCCAAAATAAAATAGCTCCCAAAAAAATAGAAATGGTTTATACTAGAACAAGCAACTGGAGGAATGTGAGGAGGCACCCACCATATCCATGAGCAGGTAGCCTCCTTTCCTATAGGTCCTACTCTGGAACTACCTGAGGAGCTGCCAGAACACATTGCCACATGGACAGTGTCCTATGAACAACTTTCTGTGGGTCAACAGAAGGTCACTTCGTTCACAGATGGCAGCTCTAGGGTACACAGACAACAATTAACATGGAAAGCTGCTGCATTAAGATCAGCAGACAGAAAGACCCTGATTGAAGAAGGTAAAAACAGGTCAGCTCAATGGTCTGAACTGCATGCTGTCTTCTTAGCTGTCGTGGAAGAGTTGGGCAATGGTGAAAGCTCATATGTTTGGATTTTTACTGATTCATGGGCAGTGGCCAATGGCCTGACTATATGGTCAGACAAATAAGCAATGCAAAATTGGATTACTAAGGGGACACCTGTGTTCTGGTTGCATAGTACCTAAGGTATTTAACTGCTAACCAGAAGGCTGGTGGTTCAAACCCACCAGCCACTCCTTGGAAGGAAGACTGGGCAATCTACTTCTATAGAGATACTGCTCCAAAAACCCAAGGAGGGGTTGCGATGAGTCGGATTTGACTTGATGGCAGTGAGGTTTTTTTTTTTTTTTTTTTTGGGGGGGGGGGCATAGACCTATGGAAAGCACTCTGGGAGTTCAGAGGATCCATTAGAATAAGCCATGTAAATGCCATCAGAAGAATCCCCTTCCTGAATTAGAAGGTGATTGGAATCAGCAAGTGGATATGTTGGCACACTCCCTTGAGGAGGTCATTTGGATTCATGAAATGAGTGGATATGGTGGTGTTGCAGCAATGCAGAGATGGGCTGAATCAAGACACATTTCTCTTGCACCCTCTGCTGTCAGAGGTGTCAGTTAATAAGGACTGCTCTGTCTGTCAGCAAGAAAGACAGAGGTTACAGATGGTGATGGGGTAGATTCCCTGGGGAGAAGGCCCTGCACATAGCTGGCAAGTTGATTATATAGGACTAATGATACCAGTGGCTCCACATGGCTATAAATGGGTCCTCACAGGAACAGATACTTATTGTAGACTTGGCTTTGCGTATCCTGTGACAGATGCAAATGCCAAAAACACCATTAAAGGACTGAAACAAAAGATACTGTACCAATTTCGGCCACTAAGTCATATTTCCTCAGACCAGGGAATATACTTTACATCCCTTAGGGTGCAGCAATGGGCCAAAAAGCATCATATTAAGGGGACATACCATGCTGCATACCATCCTCAAAGTAATGGTTTGATGATAGAAAATTGGAATGGGCAATTGGACATTTGTTATCTAAAACGGGGAGATAAAAGCCTGAAGGGCTGGCT